GGGCTGTGGGGGGAGGGGGACCCCAAACCGATGCCTCCCTCCTAGTGTGAGTTCATTTACATCTAAGCTGGCTAACCACATGTCCGGTGTGCTCCTCAGAACACTGGGAAACTGGAGTGAGGATGAGGTGAGACCTTGCCGTGGAGGACTGAGGTCCTCTCAGCTGCCATTCCCTCCAAACAGCAGGAGTGCACAGGGCCTGGGCAAGCTTGAGCCCAAGCCAAGTCCTGGCAACCCTCTACTTTTTCCAGGGAAACCAGAGGACAACAGTGTAAGTTTTGGAAATCGAAGGGTTCTTTGCCCTCTGCCTGTAGTCCTTCATGCTGTTTCTCGGAGGGCCCTGCTGTGTTCTCGCTCAAGCACAGAGGACAGGTACATCCCCATCTGGGTTTCATTTCCTGTCGAGTGATAGACTACCTGACAGAAGCAACTTCAGAGAGAAAGAGCTTATTGGGTGTGAATCCCAGCTCCGGCAGCAGGAACTTGAGGCAGCTGTTACATCACGTCAGTTGCCATGAGCAATGGATTAATTCATGCAACTGCCCAGCTCGCTTTCTCCATCCGCATCTAGTCCAGGATCCCCGCCCCAAGGAGGATGCCGCTCACAGTGTGCAGGTCTTCCCGTATCAATTACAATTATCACAACAATCCCGCACAAGCATGCCGACTGTGCAACCCCCGATCTAGACAATCCCTCATTGAGACTGTGCCTGGCAATTCTAGATTGGATCAAGTTGACAAGGCTGGGTCTTATCTAGCATCAGGTTGTTGTCACAGCTACACAAAGCATATTTTATTCTACACATTTGCTTGTGTAGGAGCTGCCAGGCAAGGGCAGATGGTGAGTGTGCCATTGTTGAGGACAATCGGGAAAGGCCTCAGGGTGCTGACTGGGTGACGTCACCCAGGCAGGTGGTGGGGACTCTGGGAGGCACTCTGTGCCTTTAATTTCGAAGTCCCTCCTTTTACATCACTGCGGGAAGGGAAGCCGGTGTCCTTTAAAGATGTCCTTGGATTTGAAATTTCACACTGTTTTTATTGCTTCATTAGGAGACCGTCTTCTGACAGTATTGGAAGACAACGCAGCAGAACTGGGAAATGTCAGCGGGCCTCCTTCCCGCCCTACCGTGTTTTCAGTTATGCAGATGGGGTTTACACGTGTGCTCCCAAGATAATTAGTCAGACAGGGCTTGGGGTTTGCCTCCACTTTTCTCCTTGATGGGGTGTTTATCTCTTAGGCCTCGGTTTCTGGGGAGCAAGGGCTTTAGGGAAGGCAGCCAAGATGGGTAGAGGACACACACTTTGTGGCTGCTTTCCCTGACAGAAGCCAATTTAGAAGCCTGTCTGACATTTTCTGCGAGCTTTGAAGGTCACGGAGGGGTTTGTAGGTCATGGAGGGGTGTTCTTCTGGGATGGGGGTTGGGTATAGCTGGAAGTTGGCCTCGCTCTTGTACACATAACTCTAAAATGTGCAGCCCTCCACGAGCAGCCACACAGTGATGCCTCTGCTCCCACAGCACTGATGGGATCAGGAGGAAGGACCTCGTCAAGGGCACTCCTGCTGTGGCGTGGTGCCCGGCGGCCATAGGCTCCAGGAGGAGTCAGATGCTAACGGTCACGGTCACTAGACTCCTGTGCTCTCATCAGACACACAGGGAGCCTCAAGTTCCCTGGAGCCTACGTGAAAGGCCAACAGAGTGAGGAGAAGAAAGAGAACAGAAGAGAAGGAAGTATTCGCCAGCTATCCACCCAGAATACATATGGAGCTTGCTCCACCCAAAAAACAAATAACATGATCAAAAATGTGGGGAAGAGATTGGGGTACACATTTCTCCAAAGAAGGGGTACAAATGGCCACGGGTGTGTGAGGAAGCAATCAGTATCCCTGATCACCTGGAGACTGTGGGGCCAAGAAGAATGAGCTGTTGCCTCACACCTGTAAAATGGACACTATAAAGCCACAAAAGATTGCAACTGTTGGTGTAACAGAGAAGTGGGGGGCTCTTGGGTGCAGCTGGGGGGTATGCAAATTGGTACAGCAATAATGGGAAATACTATGAAGGGTCTTTTAAAAGTTAAAGTAAAAAATTAAAACTGGATTACCTAAGACCTGGTCATCCCTCTTCCAGGCATATACCAAGGTGAGTAAATCAACACCAAGGAAAGACACTGTTGTCTCTATGCTTAAATCCTGCAGTATTGGGCATGCTGGGCAGATGCAGAAGCAGCCTATGTGTGCAAAACAGATGGATCAATAGAGAAGGAATTGTGGAGCATCTATGTGTGTGCACCTGAGTGTGTGCATAACTTCATACCATTCAACTTTCTGAAAAGGAGTTTGCCATCTGTATCACTCTGCTTTTCATAGCCACAATAAAATGATGAGGCAGGGGACATTATATTATAAAGCTTATTTTTTTCTTTTAAAAAAAACTGGAGCCGTGAAATCTAGGGATCTAGATGGCAATGGCTTTGTGGGTGGCAGTACCCAAGTTGCAGAAAGTGTCATGTAGGAAGAACCTGTAGTATCCTCCCTGGTGCCTCTCTCTTCATTCAAAGCCACTGGGACCTAGTGACAGGGCTTGACCTTGATGACCTCATCAAGCCCTGGCTCCCTCCCAGAGGCCCAACAACATCCACAGGAGAGCTGAGTTTCTACTCTCTCCACACCATTAGCCCCTGCGTCTATCCATCCCTAAGTTACAACATGCTCAAGTCACAGCCCTGGCACTCGCTCCTGCATGGAGGGGCTTGTATAGGGCATTACTACATTATTAGGCTGACACCAGACACAAGGCTTACACCACCTCACTCCTGGGAACAGCCTAGAAACAGTGGCATACAGACACAGAGAAGGACTGGTTCTCAGGACAAGGCTAGGGGAGAAGATACAGGTCAAATGGCATTGAAGTTCCATCAGTAACATGATCTGGTTCTGGAGTTCTATGCCTAGGAGGGGCCACCGACAGGGTCGCAGCGTTGTATGATGAAGAGCTGACCTTCACGCCCCCTCAAGCCGTGGGTACACAAAAAGGGAAGAAAAAAGTCAAGGACCTGTACCATAATGGGTCTCCCTTGGCTATCTAGAGAAACTGGAAAAAGAAGGAAGCGTTTAAGCAGGGTCGATTCTGTCACAGGTCAGGAGATGGACTCTGTGGTCACAGTGAGCTGGGGCCTGAGCCTTGCTGCCTTCTCTAGCCTCCCAGGCCACAGGCCTTCCAGGCTCATGCATTAAACCAGGACTTCTCAAGCATTTCCCTTCTCGATGCCCCCTTTCACTATGGGAACTGACCTCACTGACACACCAAGAGGCACAGCTGTTTCTGGTCATGAGCTCACCTTCGTGAGCTGCTCAACCCCTGTACCTGAGTGTATCCTCTTTCCGTCCCTCTAGCTAACTGGAGACCGTCAGTCACCTATCATGGCTCATGGTATAACTGGTATTCATAAAGAAGTCAGTGCAGGTTAAATTTTATAACAGCGTTAGTGCTGAGCACACTGCAGTCTAATGCCTTGAGTTGCTCATCAGCGGATCCTAGATGAGCTGACACCTGAACAGGTCTCCTTATACCTCCTTGGATACATGCTCCAGTGTGACCTTGGGATGCACACACCAGTGTGACCTTGGGATGCTATTTTATCTCACCTGCAGGGACCCTGTGTGATGGTTAATCATGACTGTCCCTGTGATAAGTTTGAGATCACCTAGGGGTTAGTAAGCTACGCCCCTGAGTGTGTCTCCGAGGGTGGACTGTGGAGAAACAAGATTGTAAGAAGCCCTGGGCTGACCGATTCTGAACAGGTTGTTGAGCAGTGGACTTAGGGAAGGCTGGGCCTGGTTGAGGAAGCAGTTATGGGGCCATGTCATTTGGGATTGTGTCTTGCCCTTTCCTGTCTCACTCTGCTTCCTGGATGCCACAGGGGAAGCAGCCTCCTGAAGCACACACGCCTACTGCCATGATGTTTCATCTCAATGTCAGTCCGTCATAATGGAGACTGTAGGTTGAAGCCTCTGAAGCTTTGACCCAAGCAAATCTCTCCTCCATTTAAGTAATTTCTGATTCTTTGTAAGTACTAACACACTCTTTTCCAAATAAGGTCAGTGCTTGAATATACATGTTGTGTGTGTGTGTGTGTGTCGGGGGGCGGGGGTGCCTGAAGTTGGAGATGACGTGGATCTCTTGAGGAGACGGTGTATCCATGTTCCAGGATTTTGACCAGGGGGAGTTGATTATGGGAAGGGGGCGCTCACTGCAAGCACTGACCCCACTCTGTCCTCTGCCAGACTCAGACGGTGGGCAGGCTTCTATCTAGGACAACCAGGAATGTTTAAGAGGTTTCCCTCAGCGGGTCTTCCTACATCATCTCTGACACACCAGTGAGGAAGTTTCAAAGCATTAGACTATAATGCATTTCACACTAATGGCGTTTAAAGTTTCATTTACACTAACCTTCTTGTGAATATCAATCACACTGCATGCCAGCATGGTCGGCTAATGAGGACTCTAGTCAGGCGAGAGTCAGCTTAGCTGGCTTTCTTGCCGCTCAGCTCCAGGCCACACTCGCTGGAGGGCTGGTTACTCTGTGTGTTATCACCAGCCAGAGCTTCTGAGGATGCATGCAGTCTGACTTCCCACCAGAGAGCTGCTGCTGAACTGTGACCTGTAGGATTGTGGAGAAAATAACTCATGCAGTCCTCGGGGTCCTGATGTGTAACACGGACGTGGTCCCTACACCATTACTGAGATAAGGGAATCTGATTTTGTAGACAGAGCTGGCATGTGTGTACTGCTCACTTGAGGTCCTTTCTTTGATGTGAAAGACGCTGCTGCACATCACGAAGGAGGAAAACAAAGAGAAGCCACACCAGGAATGGGGCTCTCAGCAGGAGAGATCCGCTGTGACCCCAGAGCTTCCCAAACTTCCCCTAATAAGATACACATTAGGTCCTGTCCAGAAGACAGATGACATCACCCATTAGATAAACAGCCAGTGAGAATAAAATAGCCGGCGGAGAACCTCCAGGAGATAGCTCAGCGGCCTGCCCTTCAACCCAGGCAGCCTGAGGACATCACCAAGGAGGATTGGCAGCGAAGACCAAGGGCTAACGAAGGGCACCCGGGTAAGTCACTTAAACACGTCTCACAGCTCAGGCCTATGCTGTGATCGAAGTCCTTTCACTGAGGCCTGTCCTGCTTTTTCTGTTTTTTTTTTTTTTCCTTAAGCTTGTGTTTCCATTCTCTCTGTCCTACCTGCTAAAATTTTGTTCGTTTTATTTGTCTTTTAAAAAACAAACATGCTTGTGATTTTTATTGATCAGTTCTAGCATTTGCTTTCCGGTTTTAGTATTTGCTCATTATCTCCTCCAGGCTTGGTGGAGATTCCTGCACACGCTGGTGGAGACCGACTCCTGGGGAGGGGGAGTGCTGTCAGCTATGGAGAGGTGAGGAAGGTGGCGGGGCTCCCTGGTCCCCAAGGCAGGTCCCCTTGGCCGCGAGCCCGGGACCTTTGCACACTTAGCCTTGCACAAGTCAGTGAGCCCCGTCCTATATTCTATATTATCTCAATTTTTAAAAAAATTATTTATTTTCTTTTTCTGTCACTAATTCCTTTTACTTTCCTTGGGGGTTCTGCGTGGGATTTGTCTGGAGGCAGCCTAGAGTCTACTGAGTAGGGAAATCCTGTGACGCACTGGCTGCCTGGTCGCTCCTAGGGCCAGAAGCTTGGGTTGGGCTCCTCAGCCATTTTGAGCCTGTTTCCTGTCTGTAGAAGCAGCGACAGACCTCGTTTCTAGATTAGGCACGAGATCACAGAGTTAGCAAAGGTAAGAACAGGAGACAGGACGCTTATGGTTCTTAGTCTTTTGAGTTCAAAACTTAGCTCCCTTCTCTTTAAGATTTTTATGCAAATTGTGTACAAAGGCTTACCCGAGGCTCTGGAAACCCCGTGGGAGGGTGCAGTGTAAGGGAAGCCCCGTGGGTGGGGTACAGGGCAAGGGAAGCCCCGTGGGTGGAGTGCAGGGCAAGGGAAGCCTCGTGGATGGGTGCAGGGCAAGGGAAGCCCCGTGGGTGGGGTGCAGGGCAAGGGAGGCCCCGTGGATGGGTGCAGGGCAAGGGAAGCCCCGTGGGTGAGTGCACCGCAGGTGATGGGGCTCATTTCTTTCTCTGAGTGCACATAATGGAGACTGTCTCCTGAGTTCCAGATCGTCGCCAAGTGCTCCTCTTCACGTATGAACTGAACCAGAACCCTCGATTTCCAGACACAGAAACAGACCGAGACAAGTTTAGTGTCTCCTCAAACTCCTCTAGTCTACAGGACCTGAGCCTCACTCTCTCCCCACTGGCCCAGCCCGCAGCACTTCTGGTGTAGTGTCTTGGGATCCAGGGTAGCTGAGAGCAGCTCTGTGTATCTGACTAGCATGCAGGAGTCCTTGGGGGAAGGGCAGGGAAGTACCCAATGTTGTTTTCAAGGTGGCATTCCTGTAACCCATGAAAGGGTTCAGATATGTTTCAAGAGTAACAGTTTAAATGCCTTGCTTGGAATTAAACTCTCGAAGTTCTTAAAACCATTGGAAAAACTGAGCATTAGTTAGGTGTTTAGTTGCTAAGAGACAGTCCTGAGGCTGGTGGCCCCATTCCAAGGATAGTCTGAGGTGCCGTGTGTGCTGCCGAGCTTGGAGGGCCTGGGCACAGAGGTGAGCACCCCCTCCCACCGACAGTGCCTTCTTAAGCCACAGTGGCCTCCACTGTTTCCTGTGCTAACTCCCTTCACCCTGTCCCTCCCACACCTTCAACCTGTCCCACCTACAGCTTCGACCTGGCCTCTGGAGAGATGAACTGTTAGAGTGATCCTCTCTCCCCTGGTTGACCACAGCTCTAGCCATTTCCTATTCCTTGCAAACAGCAAATCCTAACTAATCTCCTTCCATTACCGGGCACGCACTCAGAAGCACATTCATATCCTGCCTCATCCCAGGGGATACTCACAGTCAGCATCCATGTCCTCTGCCCCCCTGAGCTCTAAAACCTGGACTCCGCCTCAGCGCCACTTCCCCTTAGGGATCTCAGAAAGCCCCCCAATCCAGCAGACCTCTGGCCTTCCACACCTCCTAGGTGGAGGAACACAAGCTCTTGAGTGGAAAACAGGCACAACCAGCTGGACCTTAGAAATGAAGGCAGCTTTTAGCTCAGGGATTTTTGGAAACCTGGAAAAGTGGGCCCTTAACTACTGGAGATTAAGCAGGCAAGAATCTGCTGCCATCACCATTGCTGGCCTGCGGCCTCAGGCATGTGATTGACTATCCTTCTGTTCCACTTTCCATACCTATGTGTTGGGAAGGATGTTTTTGTGTTGATTTTATAGGGTGGCTGATGTCAGTTTTAACTGATTCTCGCCATGCTCCCAAAGTCACATGCTGTGTTAGCATCAAGCTTGACTTTCTGTGAGGGTGAGATCCCTACCAAGGTACAGTGAGGCCACAGGGTGGGGTGCAGTCTTCATGACTAGTGTTTGTGATAAGGGGGTAAGTCATATGTAGTCTGTCATACAGGGAGATAGAGCTGACACTCCCTAAGCTGTGGGGCACCAGAGACCAGCAGCTACAGGAGACTGTGGGTCTGTCCCTCGGAGCTCAGCAGGTGCCCATCCAATTGACATTGAGATGAGAGGCTTCTGCCTTCCAGAGTCAGGAGGAAGTAAGTCCCCACTTGCATAGATCCTGGAACAGATGCAGGCTGCAGAAAGGGGATGCTGGTCCCTTTCTGTCCTCATCCCCAGAGGCCAGGGGACAATCTCTTCAGTTCTTCATTCTTACCCCTGTAAGATGTAGCCCTGAACTGCTATGCCTGAAGACAGTGTCTTTTGAAGGAGGGGAACATGAAGCCATGGAGGGCCCCTAGTATATACTTCTGGAGGTCTGGCTGAGCCTCAGGGCCTTCTGTGCAGGTGACTGAGGGGTCCATGAGGAGCTATGGCCAAAGAGTCAGAGCACAGACTAGAAGAAACTCCAAGCAGTGCACTTCTGCTAAGGAAGTACTTAGTGAAGTTTGAAGGTGAGCACGCAGACGGGGTGGAGCATCATTGCAGGCTCTTGCACCCAAGGGTGTACCAAGCCTAGAGGAACAAAACCTGAAGGCCGTTGACACAGCAGTGTTGGGGGCTGTGCAAGCTTGGTGGAAAATTCCATCTCAGTTGTTGGGGAAGGGGCGCTCATTCCATAGATACTGTGCTGTGCCTCCGGCCCCACTGTGGCCACTCCATCCATCATGCAGGACAAACAGAGGACAAGAGACACCCTGAGCCTGAAGGCTCTTCTTTCGAAAACATGGCACCCCAGGAGACTAGCAAAGGGGAGGCACCAAGAGAGACAGACTGAGGAGAGAGGTTCAGACAGAAGGTGCCAGAGAAACCTAAGCAAGTGGTACAACTTGCTTGCCCCTGCATTCCAGGGGTGGCCCCACCATCTATTTCTCAGATTCTTTTTCATTTCTTTGGTGATGACATAGCTGCTTGACCCTTTTCAGGTTTGTGGCCTCAGTGGGGCTGCTTACCACAGGGAGGACCCTGGGACTCTGAGTTCACACAGAGAGAAGGACAAGAAATGGGATATCCTGGACTCATGGCAGCCCTGGCCTGGGGGACACCCTGGTATGTTCTAGTCCGAGGAAGTGCCCATTGGGGCAGTGGATTCTGTAACAAAGGGGCTGTTTGACACGTACACTCGAGACTTGGAACTTCAGTGGGTTTTCTCTTATCCCACGATACTGAGGTCCCGGCTGGAGGGACATGAGGGAGGGCCCATTGCCCCCAGGATCCTCTGCCTGCCCCTTTCGCCTCCAACTGGGACAAAAGACAGCCCACGCCTGCATCTTTGTACCCCCTTCCCATCACCCTTCCGCTGCAGCCCTGCTGGTCTCCTCTTCCTGGCAGCACATCACACTGAGGAGTTAATGATGCTTTGTGCAAAGGGTTTCCATTCCAGAGAGGCAAAGCCGCCATTAGACAGGCTGTTCCCATGGAGACAAGATAAACAAGGAGCTTTTCCCTAATGATCACTCTTTGATCAATGACACTGTCTCTGGGGCAGATGGTGTGGGAGCCAGCAGCACTGCTGAACATGCACACACATATACAGACATCACACACACACACAGCACACATACACATATACACACACAAAATACACACACACACAGCACACAACACACACACATATATACACAAAACACACAAGCACACATGCACAGCACACTATAAAAGGAACTCAAGTCTACCCTCCTCCAATGTGGCCTTTGGTCCAAGTGATTTCACTAAAGAATTTTGGAACTAGAGAGAAAGTCTAAGCCCAAAAGTATTCTCTGACATCGGAAAAGAAAATAAAATCGATTTAGGGATGTTTCCTAACACTTTCCACTTCACTCAAACAAACACTGGGTCCTTTCTTTGTTGTGACTGCTGTGGAGTTTGGACAAGGACAGGGTGGGTTCTCCTGTCACAGGGTGAGCATCTGAGCATGTCCAGACGTGCGTTTTCAGTTAACTGGTTCAAACAGCCTCCGGTCAAGGTAGTGACGTGAATGACAGCTTTCAAAGATGTCCGCAGCCTCATCCCTGAGACCTATGGGGATGCGAGTCACCCACGGCAGCAGGGACTTCGGGATAGGGTACGGTCCTGGATGAGGCTGATGTGGCCAGTTTAGTTGAAGGGCCTTAGAAGAGGTGAGAAGAGGGGTCAGGGTCAGAGAGAGAGCCTTGAAGATGCTACGTGACTGGCTTTGAAGATGAAGGAGATACCAAGCCGGGGGCATGGTCAACAGGGGTGGGGACAGTCACTAGAAGCTGAAGAAGTCAAGGAATGGACTCTTTCAGAGTCTCCACAGGAAAACAGCTCTCCTGGTGTCTGGATCTGGGACTTCCGACCTCCAGTACAATGGGAGGATGAATCCGTGGGTTGGGGAATTGGCTGGGTAAACAGCGTACTGGGCAAACTGAGGACCAGAGTTTGAGCCCCAGAGCATGTGTAGAAAGTCAAGCATGGTGGTACATGCTTGTCCCTCAGCACTGAGGGATCCCCAGGACTTGCCAGCCAGCCAGCCTAACCTGGCAGTGAACACCAGGTCTCATGAGAGACCCTGGACCACTCCTTAGGAATGATGCCCAGTGCTGACCTCCAGCCTCTACACACCCATAGAGCCAACACAGAAAAGAATGCGGTTTTGTTTTGGTTTGTAGCTATGTTTGTGATAATTTGCTGCAGAACATACTTTACTCGCACTGTCAGCAGATGTGTGGCACCAGGTCTGCCTTATCAGGAACATATTCAGTGACAAGAACCCAGCCAAAGCCCTTTGCATGGATTTGGATACTGCAGGCCCCTGGGCTCACTGTGCCCACAGATGCTGAGGGTGTGAGCCCTCACAGGAAGGACTGGGGTGCAATGAGAATT